GGTGCATTCTTTTCAGATATCCTCTTCTCATTGGACTTGATTTGTAATAGCAGATCATTATATTTGATTGTTTTCAGTCTTTGTATATTTGCAACGAGTAAACAAATTTTCTTCCAATAGTTCTGCAGCTGCTGGCCTTGGTTGCTCAGCCAACAGTCCTGAGTCCTGTAGCCCACTTGTCACCAGATGTCCAGGAACTAGAGCACCTAGCATGGTCTATGTTGACCTGGGTGATGAACAATCTGGTATGGGTTTCTGTAAATTACATCTCACCATATTGTTTATGGGAGAGACACTCTTTGTCTGGCTCCTCTGATGAGACCTGCCTGGTATGGTTGAACCTCTGGCATACCTCTCATCCTCCTTGGAGCATGCAAGCCCCACAACCACATCCAGCAAAACAAATAATGTCCAACAAGATGTTGTACACATGAAGCATACTACAACTCTTGATTTAGCTTAATCAGCTGAAATTCATTAAGCAGAGCCTTAGCTACTGAAGAACCTCAGACACCTAAAAATAATTTTATCTAGATTCGTGATGCCTGAACATTTTTAATTATGCTACATCAGTGTGGTTAAGCATTGGGAAAAGGATATTTTTCCCCCTTAATCATGTGAACACAGGAGCCAACCATGCTGCAATATTAGAATATTAAATGGAGAAAAAGCAGCAGTTGCATCATAACCCATGGTTTCAAAATGAAGAGAAACAAGATTGAATATGAAACTTTTAAAAGCATATTAAGTTGGAGGTGGGAGGAGTTATTTTCTATTAAAATATTGGAATCAGATGTAAGTTTTATTGGGGATGAAAATATTCCAGATAACAGCAAAAGTGGTCAAGATTTTAAATAAACCATTTTACATGAGAATGTTATGGAATGGCTTTCTCAATCAATATTTGCTTTCATATCTGGATTTTGTTTCACTTTCTTCATCAAATGTGCTTATGGATGCATTGGGAATTCTGTTCTGTTCTTATGGATGTATTGGGAATCCACTCTTGGTTACATTAGTTCCTGGGTATTAGGTAAAATGGTGGGCTGGTGACGTCCTCTCATATTTAATGTGGGATAAATTAAGGAAAGCAATTGGTCAATTCCCCTGACATCACCTGCTGGTGGGAAAAAAAACAACCACCAATCACTCTTCCTGAGGATGGACTGACGTCTTGACAGATTACACCTCTCAAAACCTATACTGAGCTATCTGATCGGGAGGAAGGGGCTCTGCCCAATAAACCAGGAGAGGAGGTGACAGATGGAAAGAAAGGGAGTAAATTGTTATTCCCTGACTATCATCCATTTGGGGGACTGGCAGAAGTGTGTGTGTCAGGGGTCCTATTCTTAAACATGTGTCTTTGTGGTTTCCTGGAAGACAAGAAGATCCATATTTTCAAAGTAGCACTCCCAACATTTCCTACCTGAGAAACAGATGACAGATGGGGTTGTGTGGCAATCTGGAAGCTAGTTATGTGGAAATTAGGTGCCTGGTCATTTCTGCAGTCCAAGCTAAAATGACCAGGGAGGATGGATGGATGGATGGATGGATGGATGGATGAATGAAAATGAATGAGAGAGAGAGAGAGAGAGAGAGAGAGAGAGAGAGAGAATGAAGGAAAAGGTCTGCTTCCCTAAAATTGCCAATAGGACTGGGCAGATCCCAGCTCCTAACCGCATTATCCTCAGCTTCATTGTGTAATTAGTTTCTATGACAGGACGTGTGCTGGGAGAAATGTAAAAACAGTATTTTAACACTGTATTATATATAAAGAGGCCCTTATATAGCTTTCAACAGTTAGTGAGGCATCTTTATGCTGGGGTTAGCAGGCTATGAGGAAGAGCCCTCATAGGCTGAGAAAAGGGGTTTTTCATGGCAGATGTGATTTTAGGACCATTCCCAATTCTTGCCCCATTTCCCTTATAAAAGGATATTTTCATGCCACACAATTCCTGGTTCAAGCCTGTTCTCAAATCTTATCAGCTTTCTCATGAAGTGATCTCATTTCAATACTTTCTCCTATTAAAACCTTGAAAACAAACCCGTTTTCTCAGCCAAATCCTTCTCCTTAAGCAAAAAGAAATAACTCAATTGGAAGTTGCCTTCCCTTTCTCTTGCCTCTCATTGTTGACTGTAACATTATTAAACACGTAACCCAAAGTAATCATGTTAGCTGTATTTGGTGTTAGAAATGTAAATACCCATTAAATAAAATCACATATTGTTTCTGACTTGACTTCACCAAGTAAAAAAAAGATTGACTCATTTTGGAGCCTTCTACTCTTGTATTGCTCTTGATCAGGAAGATGCCACATGACTTTGCCTTAGGTAAAGGAAAACCCTTCCACAGAGTCAGACCAAGCCTGGCTTTTCTGATCAGGATAAGATATATTGAACCCTCCATACTCACCTTTCAAGGTCCTAAATGAAATCGGGCACCTCATGGCTGCCATTCGCATTACAGGAAAGAAAGTGCCCATTGGAAAATTTTCTGATACAAACATGAATCCAACCCCATTTTTATAACTGCTAAGGCCATCTTTTTGCAACACTCTAAGCCATTCTTTGCCAAACCAAAGTTTACTAAATAAACCACAACTGGCTGGGTTGACATGACATGGTAAATCATAAACCACAACTTACAAAAACTACTGGCTAGAGGGATGCATCCAAGACTTTCAGTCTAATGTCCCACCTCTACCTGGAGATATCAACCACGATGCCCCACCATAAAATTGTAGTCCCATTCAGATCCCTTAGCTGGGAGGAACGCTCAGTCATTCCCAACTAACTAAACCCAACAAACATTTAAATTTGTCAAAAAGAATTAATAAAAGCCTATATAATTATATTCATTTTTGGATTCTCCCTATACTGTACACTTATTCCCTGCCCAGACTTCCTATCTGGAATTTGGTCCCACTGTATTTTCTGAAGAAGATAAGGCATTCTATTTCTGTTTCTACTCACCATCTCACCCACATTCAGCTTCCACAACTGCTTGAGAACCTCTTGGGAGGCATTTTTGCAACCTTGCCAATCTGTATCACTTTCCCGGGGCAGCCTCATTCCTCTGGAAGCAATAAATAGGAGGAGGAGGTAAAGAAGGGTGCTCTGCAAATGATTCCATAGGTTGAGCATCATCTCTGAAGACTTTAGACTGAATATGGAATGATGCTGGAGGATCTTGTTTGAGACTGGGAGTTAGAGGAACCAGGATCATATTTATCTTGCTGCTATAGGTGACTCAGGCAAATAGTGGGGAATTCCCCCTCTGGGGAGACAGGTGGGGGTGGCATTGCAAGTGCACTGATGTCAGGATCAGATCTAAGTCCAGCAAGGCCAAGTTAGTGTGACAGAGCTGAGTTCACCAGAAAAACAGAAGTGATACCCATTTTTGGGCTCTCCAAAGATCAGTAACCTCAGAGATCAGCTCATTTGCCTAATGATGCCCTGGATTACAGCACTGACAGCTCTAAGCAGGCTGGGCAAATCATAAATCCCCATTTCTCTCCCTACCTGTAAACATACTCAGAGAGAAAAACCCCATAGTATTTTTCTGATCTCAGCTAACATCTATATCAGAATCAGAAAATGATTGTGGGAGAGGAAAAGAGGAATCCAATCTCCTGTTCCCCAACTGACAACACACTCAGAAGGCCTTTTGCTCCTCCTTGGAGAATTGAATGATTTCTATCCACCCCAACCTACATTATTAATATTATTTATCTATCTATTTATTTATATTTCAAATTTAGATACTGCCCATCTCACAAAAAAGTGACTCTGGGCGGTTCA